AGGAATAAGCACTTGGCACAATCCTGATCACATACATGCATCTGATTTTGGTATTTGACGTGGCACTAAGTACATGACAACATTTCACAGGTAGTGACTACAAACTGTCAGGATACTGTGGGGATGGCAAAAGGGAGATGTAATAATTTTTCATCCCTTTCACGTGAGCTCATCAGTAACAATTTAATCCAGCAAAGTGACAGAGCTAAAGCAAAACCATTTGGTAGATCTTTGCTCCTCCACTAATTCAACAACCAAATAACATTTGCCAGAGAACCCAATCTTATTTCCACAGTTGTCACTAACTTGAACAAGAAGAGCAATAAAAGAACTGCAACTCCCACCCCAAGGATTTAAATGGCAATCTCACTCTAAAATATATGAAAAGCACAAAAGCTTATTACTTTGAAAATATATAAGAAAATATATGGGGTATGTTTGGTTTTTTGCTACAACATACACTTACAACAAATGCAAAATTAAATTATGGCCTGCAGAATGAGAAATCAAAGAGGCAACACATGTTTGTACTGTTTTTTCTACCTACAACATGTAGAAAAATCTTCACAACACCAGAATCAGTGGTTCTGATAGGGAATGTAGTACATGCCCTTTCTGCTTTAACAATTGTGAAATAACAGACAACCCTGATGGTACATTTTTTCAGCCCTAAAAGTGCTAAAAGGGTGTGTCCCCATCCCGAGGAGATGCCAGAATCCTGCCAAGCATCCAAAAAAGTGGAAACATTTTGGCACACAGATAATATTTTAGGGCTAAAGATGTATTAAAGAGAACAGCTTTATACATTCTCAGTAAGATTAAGTGTGTCTTTTGGCAGGCAGTAAGTCAAGCTTTGCATGACAAACAGTTGTTAAAAAGGCAGGTCAGACAGGGGAGACAGGGTGGGGGTGTTGCCCTCTATGTCAAAGACCAACTGGAGTGCACGGAGCTCTCGGGTTAAGATTAAGGGGAAGAAAGGCCAAGATGACATCATGGTGGGGGTTTGCTAAAGGCTGCCTGAGCAGGGGGATAATATAGATGAGGCACTATACAGACAGACAAACAGTTGTTAAAAAGGCAGGTCAGACAGGGGAGACAGGGTGGGGGTGTTGCCCTCTATGTCAAAGACCAACTGGAGTGCACGGAGCTCTCGGGTTAAGATTAAGGGGAAGAAAGGCCAAGATGACATCATGGTGGGGGTTTGCTAAAGGCTGCCTGAGCAGGGGGATAATATAGATGAGGCACTATACAGACAGATAGGAGCAACTTCACATTCACAAGCCATGGTCCTCATGAGAGACTTCAACCATCCTGACACCTGTTGGAAGAACAACTCTGCTAAATGCAAACAATCCAGGAAGTTCCTAGAGTGCACGGATGATAACTTCCTTTGCCAAGTAATCGAGGAGCCAACAAGGAGAGGTGCTGTGCTGGATCTTGTCCTCACCAACGAGGAAGGGCTGGTGAGGGATGCTAAGCTCAAGGACAGCCTAGGTTGTAGTGACCATGAAATGGTGGAGTTCAAGATCCTTAGGGCAGCAAGGAGGGCTCACAGCAAGCTTATTACCCTTGACTTCAGGAGGGCAGATTTCAGCCTCTTCAGGGATCTGCTTGAGAGAGTTTATTGGGATAACATCATGGAGGGATGAAAGCTGGCTGATATTTAAGGATCACCTTCTCCAGGCCCAAGAGCAATGCATCCCAACTAAGAGGAAGTCAAGTAGAAACTCCAAGAAGCCAGTGTGGATGAGCAAGCAGTTCCTAGAAAAGCTGAAACTTAAGAAGGAAGAACACAGAGGGTGGAAGCAAAGGCAGGTATCCTGGGAGGCTTACAGAGAGGTTGTCCAAGCAGCAAGGGATCAGGTTAGCAGAGTCAAATCCCTGCTAGAATTAAATCTCACCAGGGATGTTAAGAACAATAAGAAAAGCTTCTTTATGATGATGTTAAGAGGGATCTATCTCATATTGTCTATATCTTGATTAGTATTTCTGTAGAGGAAGTACCACAGGTCTCTAAGCATAAAATACAAGATTTTATTCCAAACAGTCATCAATCAGACTACAGTAGCTTGAGTCTGACTCCAGACTGGGCTGGATTTGAACAGCTGCTGTAGAGATTAAGGACTGCATGCAGTTGTTAACTCAATGAACCATCAGACCCCTCAAAACCAGCAAACTTTTCCAACTTCAGTTAAAAGATTCAAATTATGCATGTTAATGAGGAAAGTAAGGTGTCTGAAAACAAGATTTCTATAATCAGATCCTAGAAAAGCTCAAACTTGAGAAGGAAGCACACAGGGGGTGGAAGGGTATCCTGGGAGGATTACAGAGAGGTTGTCCAAGCAGCAAGGGATCAGGTTAGGAGAGCCAAATCCCTGCTAGAATTAAATCTCACCAGGATGTTAAGAATAGTAAGAAAAGGTTCTTTAGGTATGCTGGGGAGAAAAGGACAGCCAAGGAAAATGTAGGCCCTCTCCTGAAGGAAACAGGTGAGGTAGCAACACAGGATATTGAGAAGGCTGAGGTCCTCAGTGACTTCTTTGCTTCAGTCTTCTCTGGCAAGTGCTCCAGCCTCAACACAATGGCAATGACAGGTGAAAACAGAGACTGGGAGAGTGAATTACCCCACTGTAGGAGTAGAGCAAGTTCATGACCATCTAAAGAACCTGAAGGTGCATAAATCTATTGAACCTGATGGGATTCACCCATGGGTCCTGAGGGACCTGGTGGATGCAGTTGCTAAGCCTCTGTCCATCATATCTGAGAGGTCATGGTGGTCTGGTGAGGTTTCTGCTGATTGGAAAAAAGGGAACATGGCCCCTGTTTTTAAAAAGGGGAAAAAGCAAGACCCAGGGAACTACAGGCCAGTCACTCTCACCTCTGTGAGAACAGATCCTCCTCGAAAGTCTGCTAAGGCACATGGAAAATAAAGAGGGTGACAGCCAATGTGGCTTCACTAAGGGCAAGTCATACCTGACCAATCTGGTGGCCTTCTACAACAAGACTACAGAGATGGTGGATGGTGGCAGAGCAACTGATGTCATCTACCTGGGTTAGTGCAAGACATTTGACACTGTTGTACGTGACATCCTGGTCTCCAAGCTAACAAGGCATGGATTTGACAGATGGACCACTCAGTGGATAAGTAATTGGCTGGATGGCTGCACCCAGAGAGTTGTGGTCAATGGCTCAGTGTTCAAGGGAAGGTAGGTGACAAGTTGTGTCCCTCAGGGGTCAGTATTGGGACCAGTGCTGTTCAACATCTTTGTTGGAGACATGGACAGTGGGACTGAGTGTATCCTCAGCAAGTTTGATGATGATACCAAGGTATGTGGTGTGGTTGGCACCCTAGAGGGAAGGGATGCCATCCAGAGGGACCTTGACAGGCTGGAGGTGGACAATGCCACCAACCTCATGAAGTACAACAAGGACAAATGCAAGGTCCTGCACCTGGGTCAGCACAAATACAGGCTGGGGGGAGAATGGCTGGAGAGCAGTCCTGAGGAGAAAAACTTGAGGGGATAGTTGATGAAAAGTTTGACATGAGCCACCAGTGTGTGCTGAATCCCAGAGAGCCAAACACATCCTGGGCTGCATCAAAAGAAGTGTGGCCAGCAGGGCCAGGGAGGTGATTCTGCCTCTCTACTCTGCTCCAGTCAGACCCCACATGGAACACTGGGTACAGTTCTGGTGCCCTCAGCACAGGAAAGATAGAGACCTATTGGAGAGGGCCCAGAGAAAGGCCACCAAGATGATCAAAGGGCTGGAGCACCTCTGCTATGAAGACAGGCTGAGACAGTTGGGGCTGTTAAGCCTAGAGAAGAGAAGGCTCCAGGGAGACCTAATAGCACCTTCCAGTATCTGAAAGGGGCCTACAGAAAAGTTGGGGAGGGGCTTTTCATCAGAGAAGACAGTGATAGGACAAGGGGTAATAATTTTAAACTGAGAGAGGGGAGATTTAGGTTAGATGTTAGGAAGAAATTCTTCACTATAAGGCTGGTGAGGAACTGGAATGGGTTGCCCAGAGGGGTTGTTGATGCTCCATCCCTGGAGGTTTTTAAGGCCAGGTTGGATGAGGTTTTGTGCAACCTGATCTAGTGGTAGGGGTCCCTGCTCATGGCAGGGGTGTTGGAATTTGATGATCTTTAAGGTCCCTTCCAACCTTAATGATCTTATGATTCTGCCCTTTAAGTACAGGAACACAATCAAAACATCCTTCATGGGGCCCAGGGGTCCAAACGCTTAGCCTTGTAATTGCCAAATAATTTTATCTTGTAGAATTTTTAGTCTAGAACCTAGCAGCTGCAAGCAGAAAATAAATATTGATCTGGAACTCTTCCCTTCCTTATGAGAAAATTAACAGAACAGCAGGATTTCCATCATCATCCAAGTTGGACAATGTTTCAGAAATAATTACTGCTGGCAAATGTCAGTATATATTGCCAGATATCACAGTGATGCATCTTACACAAAACACTTCCCAAAATGCATGCTGAGGATTAGGTACCATTACTCTGTCAGCCCACTTTTCCCCTGCTCTCTTTCCATGGCAACACAGCTAGCTACAAGGGACTATCAGAACCATAACTGACACCCAAGTCAGGCCAAAGCAAAGGATACAGATACTATTTTTCTGCCCTACCTGACACAGGATATCTTTGATATACATTCCACACAGTTTATGCCCCTGGGGATCAATATAATCCATCATGTTCCAGTATTTTGCTGTGATGCTGTTGTCTCTTTCCTGGTCACAGCAGCCAAAATTTTCATAGGCAGAGAAGAATCCCAAGTGAAAAGTGGGATGGAAGGGTGGCCCATAGTCCAGACATTGAGGATGCCCCAGCACACTGCCTATCAGGCACTTCCTAGTTACTGGATACTTTGAGTAGGAGGCAATAACATTCCTTACTGCTCTCTGTGGAAGGAACACAAGCTAGAATAGCTTTGCTCTCATTTGAGCAAGGAGAGAAAGCATAACCTCCCACAGAGCTTACTGCTCACATTACACAAGGACTCTCTGCAGTGAGTAAGCAGTCTTTTTTCTTCAGCCAACATACCACCTCCAGCATTCCTTAAATTAGCATTTACCACTGCAGATAAGAACATCAATTACAGAAAGCCTTGACGAATAGAGAATCCAAACCAGTACACATCAACCCTCTGATTCTGCAGGGTCTACTCCAGTGGTAAGGGAAATGCACTTGTTTAGTGCTGACAATATGCTTGCACTGCTCTGAAAGCCAAGGCGAGTCCTGCCAAAGCTTCCAGCATGAGACAGCTGCTCAGAATACCGAGAACCTGGTGGGGGAAAAAAAAGGGAGTAAGCACACATGGGGTTGACATGGTTTAAAAAGCAGCTGACATTTCATTAGCTTGCTTTGCTTGAACTTTAGTAAGACCGTCTTAAAACAGGAAAGCGCAAGCAGGAATATAAAATAACTGAATGGAATGGGGAAAGAAGAGGCTAAGGACAAAAAGATTTGTAATTTTGTGTTGTTATTGTGTTAGGTTTTACTATGAAAAATATAAAGTGCTCTTCTTCACTTCAGTGTTTAAGTACAGAGGGACAACAGACACAGTCCATAGCAAGAAGATGTGGATTCCCTGAACAAGTTCCTTGCCTCTGTATAAAGAAGATCAGCGAAGAAGAGAAGAGCTATTTGTTTCACAAAAGGAAAAAAAATAAATAAAAACCTTACAGAAGTTTTGCATACAGGATGAAGATGCCAAGTCATAAGAAAATAAAATCTAGACCACAGAACTCAGAGGCAAAGCAGAATATTCAAATACACAGGGAGTTATATTCAAAGTACAATACACAAGTTTGAAAACACAGTATGCACTGAGTAACTTCCACAGGAAATCCCACTCAGGACTTGTGCCCTACAGGTTTGTCATAGGTGCAAGTACTACGGTGTCAGGAAATACCCAGTTTCTTGCACGACATGAAGAAGCAATCAATGCTTGAGATAGTTACATGAAAGACAGGACTGTGCTGCTCTTCTGCTTGCAGATGGCAGCATAGTAGTCCTAGCACCAGGACAGAACACGATGCCTGGCAGCAACTCTGCTTCCAGAGGTCTGAGGAGAAGCTGTGAGCACAATGGATTAACAGATCTTTCAAAGACATCAGACCTTCTCTTTGTTCTTCTTACCTCCACCCCAACCTTTGCTGCTTTGTTTCACATTTCCTCAATGAAGTGACAGTTTCTCGGCTGCTGAAATGCAAACATATCCCACAGGCAGCTAGGGTGGCAGAAGGAAAATTATTTGGGAACTCTCAATAAGCAGCAGGGGCTCTAGCATTCAATTTTCACTCTGTTTTGCGTTAGATTATATAAGAGCTCCTCTGCACCCCCCCAAAAGAGCACAGAGAGACAATGGAAGGGGGAAGCTCAGATAATATCCTGCTGGGATGCTCCCAAGCCCATCACAGGAGAGAAATGAGCCCATCAAAGGCCCATCTTTGCAAGTCCTGAAGAGCAGAGGGGCATAATGGCAGACAGGAAGACAAAATAATTGTTTCCCAGAGGTGTGGGACATCTTACAGACTAAGAGGAAGAGTATTTTGAAACCTTACAATAGTCGTAACTCAGTTGAAGATCTCCAACCAAAAAAAATTTACTATTACAGCAGCATTCTTAGGGAGTCAGAACCAAACCAGTACACAGGCTGAGAATGACAATTCCCTTTTTTTATGATAAAATGTACAATTACAGCAAGTAGCTCACTTAATATTTAGGACACCTTATCTTAAGGCACATATCACAAGACCCAGATTAACCCAGACCAAATTTCCAGGTAAACACTCAGCTTTAAAAGCACAGCTGTACTTAACTATATACTACTATGCTAAAGACATCTTTATTTCATTTCCAGAGGTGGTGCAAGCAGTTCATCCAGCAGAATTCTACAGACTTGTCATTAAAACAGAACTAGTATTTGGAAATAATCTTCTTGTTGTTTTCAAGCAAACTGGAAAGCTAGTTTGTGACAACATTTGCTTTCCAAACACAGAATAGTGTACATTTCAACTCACAGGCAAGGCAGCAAAAAGATTCTAGAAAGTCTCTTCCACCAGGTAGAGAAGTTTTCAGTAGTTCTGTGCCTTTGCTCTCTCAAAGCACTGCAACACCAATTTCCCTCTCCAGCCACACAGCTGCAGCAACCACTGTCTTACCAATGATGTGAAAACTATCCCTCAGATGGACACAAAACCCATAAGTATCACAGGTGGGAAAACTGCCTTTGGATATGTTGAAGTGCATAATCTATTTGAATAAGCCAGGGTAGTTCTTCACATCCTATAATTTTTCTCAATATGCAATGCAAAAAATGTATTCAAGATGTACTTGAAATCAATGCTATTTGCATTTCACACAGAAATATAGGACTAACATCAAATAAATTCCGCAACCTCATCAGTTGAATTATATTAATTTTATTATAAAATTAATACAAACCGAAGTGTTTTTACAAAAATACTTTAAAAAGTCTAATACTGAGTTGATAGGGTTTGCCTAGACATTTTAGAATAGCACCAATACAGAAGACAGTTTCACAGACAATTAAAAATACAGCAAGAACCTTATGGGCACCTTCTGATTAAGGTTGTACAGAACAGTCTGAAGCATCAGAGACTCTCAGGTAGACAGGATTATGCTTATTCACAAATTTCTTCAGTAGCTGAAACCTTTTCACCTGAGCTTTGCAGCCTTGGTGTGATACATATTTAAAGTACTTGCAATCTGAGCAAAAAGAAAAAAAAAGTATTGTAACTTATACCACCATACAAGTAAACAGAGAAGGAGAGAAAATTATTTCACTGTTTAAATAACATGCAAACAGCTAAGAAAGTTTTCAGTAACGAAAGGTAATAAAATATTCCAAGACATGCAACACTAGAGACATAACTGCAGCATCAAAAAATCTATCCTCAGCTGACCCTTAAAACATTCTACATGTATGTAACTGTACAGCATATTGCAAAATATTCTCTTTTGGTTTTACTTTTCTAATAGATTAGAAAGTAAAATTTCAAGAAGTAAAATTTCAAAAAGCCTTGATTTCATACATAAACTTTGTGTGTTGGACAAGAGAGGCTCATGTTAACCCTAATACACACAGAAACTTCATTAAAGAAAATCAGAGCTGGAATAACTTTATTAGGCATCTGAAAATATAAGCTAGGAGACATTTGATAAAAACTTACTGCAAGAAAAAAAAAAAAAAAAAAGACCTTCAATATGAAAAATAGTTTTATCAAGTCCAGAAGATAAATTTATAGAAAAGCTGACAACGAACAAGTTGCCTGTCAACCAAAGTCTGAACTGGCACACAAGCCATAGTCTCATTCTCAATTTTGCAGCTGCTGCTTGGCCTGACACTCCACTTGCTTTTGGTAGCATTTCAAAGAATACTACTGAAGAGATCATGATCTTTACCTTCTTACCAAACTGCTGATGGTTTTCGCTCAAGACCCCATCCCCCGTTCTCCTTCCTGTATTACAAAACTCCTATAGTCCTTAAGGATCAGCTGCTCCCCAGTATTTGCTGATACACTGCCTAGACCAGCATCTAACAAGCAAACTCTCTGCAGTCCTCACAAGATTCACTCAGAAGCATGTTATGCATATTTGAAATTGTGGTTTGAGGGTTAAGCAAGATAAATAGTATCGTGACTGCTTAACAAGGCCAGATAAAACAGAACTCTAAACCAGAATACGACAAGTTATGCAAAATATGCCTCACTGTCAAATATCACACAATTTAAATGTTTTTTTCTCATGTACAGCTTCAAAGACAACAACCTTTACTAGAAGGTAAATTGGGGCTAGAACTAGACATTATTTCTGTTCTATGCGGTAAAAAGGAAAGAGCATTTAGTATTACCTTTTCCAAGCAAGATTCCAGCCACTAGAGCTTTTTCATATGAAAGGCTTTCATTTTCCCTCCAATTACTTTTTGCCAAGTAACGGCTAAAATGGAAGACTGGCCACCAGTCCTTTCTGGAGTTCCACTCTTGTTTGATCCAGTCAAGATGCTTCTCAGACCTGGAAAAAGTTACAAAAAAGCTTAAATTGAGATGAAGAGATTCTTAGAAGGCACTGAATTTTATTATCACCTTGCTAGAAGTCTCAAATTGCTAGCATAGACACACTAAGCTTACACTGCAAGACTGAAACACTAATCTAAACAGAAATAACCTTTTTTTTTTTTAATCCCTGGCAACAGTAGTGAGGCAGAAGGTAAACTCCAACAGTCTTATTCAGACTTGGCAATAACAGATTATGCTGTGAAATGAAGCAGGCCTTTGACTTGTGTGCCAGTTTGTCAATAGTAATAAGAAAGTTTCCTCATGCTTGCTGACAAATTAGTATCATGAAGGGGTTTGTTTTTAGAAAAGGTTTGTGTTACTTTATGCATACTAGAAGACTAACTTATCCCACATACTTATTCCAGTAACTGTTATGCAATAAAGACCTTAAATCAAGCACTTCAGAAACAGAAACTACCTACAACAGGGAAGTGATCTTCCCATGAAATGACCAGTGTATTTCAAGATAACTCTGAATTTGTCTTCAAATACAAGGCAAAGTTAGAGTATCATACCATTTTTACTGACTACACAACACCACTAGGTTTAACCTACTAGCTTCTGGTCCGTAACAGCAGATGTTGTGTAGGTGGAGGTGGCAATTAAACAGCAAAACAGGTCACATTAAGTACTGAATTATTTATTGTAAATATAAATAAGAGCTTAAGAAATACAACAGACTGTCTGTTGGGCAAAATAAAGTCTAGACATTAAAGGCCTTCAGGGCACAGACTGCCTGAAACAGCTCCTTCTGAAATCAGAGGCCATGTCTGTCACTGGTGGTAAAGTCACATCAATCCCCAGGCATGCTGGCTCAGCTTTTAAGATGACACTGGCTGCATTCTGTAACATTTACAACCGTCAAAAAACATACTAGTCTGTACAGTACCAGACATGCCCCTATTGCAGCCCAGAGGTTCTCAAACCAACTTTCAAATAATGCACATGTAGTAACAGAGCAGAACAGACCCAACAACTGTTCCCCTGCCATCAAAAGAGGGGCATTAGTGATGGGCAACAACTGGTACCATAACATCTGAATAATTATTTGTGCATAAGCATGTCACCTGTAAAAATAAACAAAACAAAATCAACTTTTTTCAGGTGATGACAAAAATGGAAATTCAGAATCGTCCTCAATACTTATTTCTGCTTTTCTCCAATGAAAGCACACACAGTAGGCCAGATGACTCTTCTGTCCACCAACAGGAAAGACAAAGGCTACAAAGGGTAACATCAATTGCCTGGAGGTGTAGACTTGACATATTTGTTTTTAGCACATTGTACCAGAGATACATACATTACAATTTGTTTCATCTGTCTTGCCAAACAGCTCCACGCCTTTACATTTTCCTTCCAGCCAGCATAATCCAAGACTGCAAAAATAACTTCAAGCCCCAGACGACGCTTTTTTCTTTTCTCTGGAAAAAGATTAGGCTGTTAATGAATTCCTCATACCAGGCTGAACTCAATAGTAAGTAACAAGTGAAATGCAGTTCTCCATCCTGCCTTCCCAAATGTTGCTGCTTTCCCTATTACTCATGGTTCCCTCCATTTCCTTCTGCCCCTTTCAGATAAAGTTAAGGAATGATTACTGGCTCCAGAGCACAACTCATACCAGAGACACACTGTCCCTGTTACCACCCTGCTCAAAAACTGCTGGCTCAAGAGGCGCACACAGGACTGCTCACCTAGCCCACACTGCCTTGCTTTACAATAGCTGCTGATACCAAAGCTCCCTAACCAGTGCTTCCAGTGGGCACTGCTGTTCCACACG